TATATTATCGCAGTATATTATATATACCGGACTTTTTAAGTTCAGGACTTATCTACAGCGGAAATTTTTACCCGGAATTTTTCACTACGAATCGAAAAATATATATGTAGAAACAAAACTAAGTAACGCTGATGTATTTCTTGTAAAATTTGGGACTTTGTAAATAATGAATTTTGTAAGAGCCTTACAAAATATTATGTTTTCAAGGGAAAAGCGAGTTCCTTTTGAAGGGTTAAATCTGTTTAGTGATAATTTTTTATGTTTGTAAAATAACAATAATCATTGTATATTTTTATTTTCAATAAACAGGTTTATAATATAAAAGTTCACTCACTGGAATCTTCGGGGCAGATCTTACGACCATTGAGTCGGATGAAGCGCAATTTAGGACTGCCCGTCGACCGGTTGAACTTGACCATTATCCTTGACAGTACCGGTGGCCCGGGCTTCAGTTTTTGGTTTAAGTTCAACACTGTGAATTTCACATTGTCACTTGTCGTTATTTCTCCCATCCACGACTGAAATTGAATAAACGGCGTGATAATTATATATTATATTATCTATAGATACACATCTTATTYTGTGACCTAATCTAACGGCGTTTAAACCTTAAACAAACAGAACGTTTTAAAATACCRGATTTTATGACGTCACGTATTTTTCAAATCATGCACAGTGGGCACGAATGATTAAATATTCTTACTTCGAGATTTTATATGATTGTTCGATGATAAATGTATAATAACTTTAAACCCATATCGTTTTTTTTTTAAAATATTTAAAATGATTTTTCAAAATTTTTGGTGTGTTAGGTAGTACGACTAGATATGTTTACGGTTTACCTATTAGGTATCTATTATAAATTACTAGGTACTTTAAATTAATGCTTTATTCAAGTTTAACTTATTCGTCCAATTTAAGTCATAAACCATAATAGTTATATACTTAATGTAAGCGTATTAGCCATTAGGCATAACATATTAGGCAACTATAACCTAAAAATATGACATCAATGAATACTAAATTACTTTTATTCATAATAATATTTTATAGAAAAAAAACTGTAACGATTTATATTATTCGGTTTTCCCGACGTGCGAAAGTGTGAGGTACTATTAATTGATTGGAGCACGGAAATTCAMATCCAACTGGAGATCTAACCTAACCTATATTTTATGCATATTTTAGAGTATAGATATTATACTATATACAAAACTTACTACCATCAAATCTGAAGGTCGATCCAGTTCGATGTCCAGTCGGATGCCCACCAGGCTCTCGTCAGTTCGCAGCGATATTTCGCCATACCACCTGTTGCTTTCCGGTTCCGAGCCTTCATAAGTGAATATATCAGGGCAAGGTGATGGTGGATGGGGTGCAGCCAAAGACGAGCGAACAAACAGCACCCATACTAACGACAACAGTCCATATAMTTTTAATGGCTGCTAAACGAAAGAGATAGAATGAAACAACAAAAATGTATCAAATACATTGACGAAGAAGTGTAAGAATTACGTTAAAATTATAGTACGGTTGAATTAATCACTGTTTATTATTTGACATTTTGACGTACCATTTTTTTTGGGCTAGATGTGTTATTCTTTGTGATTTGCCCCTCTTCTTCCTGGACTGATGTATTTTAATAATATTATTATGCTAATATTTTTGCTGTCAAATCTGCACAGGATTACGTTTCTGAACTAACAGAGTTTTTGTCGTCGTCTTCGTGGCGCAGATTTTACACATGTACATCTCACTCGGATTTCGGTCTCAGTTAAGGTCTAAAACGATCTGTAAACACCATCATAAGACTTGAGGTTTTTTATAAGACTAACATTCTCACTTAAATCTTCAGCAGATTTCTTTGAACGTAATAATACAGTTAATAAGTATTCATAAGTTTGAAAAATAACAACAAAGTGTATATTTAAGTTTCAAATATGGGATACTATACGAAAAATAGGTATTTAGATTTCTAAAATTAAATACTCACATCGTTGTAGTGTCCTGTAATATTTCTTCCTCACTCCGGTCAGGATCTAAAATAATATAATCACATATAAATATTAAAATATACTGACGACGTGTTGAGACGTTGAAGCCCGAAGGACGACTGCTTATGTTTATCTCTGTCTCGTATATTATTATTATTTATACGTTTATACGTATCCAGTGGTTGAAAAACAGATTTTGAATGAATATCAAAATAATAATTAAACTAACCTACTACTTAAAAATTATAAGAATACAATAAGTAGTATTTTTCGATATTTAATTAATTCAAATACAACCAGCTAATATGATGCATTGTGTGTAATATTGACCATAAGACTGATTAATGATTATATTATATTTTGAAACAATTCAAATTTCAAACGACGTTCTATTAAAACTTTGCAGTTGAGTTTCTTTATAATACTATAATAGATATTAAAATTTTAAATTATTCTAAAAATCGTATTCATTATCATTATAAGAATGACTTCTTAACTAGGTAACAAAAAGTTAAAATAATGATATATATTGCACTATGTTATCGTTTTTATGTTTAATCTTTTATACTATGTTATATTTTATCGGGAATACCTACTCGGTGAGTAWATTTTTTATAAACAAGTTAAATTAGCTTATAATATTTAGGGTTTTACCTCGGGTTTTACTTTTTTAATTTTTATTTTAAATGTACTTTTTTAGCCTCAAAATTAAAATGTTAAACATTTGATTGTTGATAAACACTAAAAAGTGATTGTGAAGTATACAATTAAAATCACTAGTTTCAATTTTTTGTTTTAAATAATATATTTTAGAAATAATTGCCTCGTCGTTCAAAATATAAGTTATCTAACWACCTATAGAAACTAGAAAAAATAATTTTTAAATTATTCCTCAGGTTGAAATGTATTTATTTTAACATAAACTAAATTAAGGTTATAGCGTACAATTATTTATTATCTACTTACTTATATCAAAGCTTTGGTTTAAAATCGAATGATCATTTAAATGCATAACGTTGTTTACCTTCAAATTATCATTTATATAGCTCCCATATCCAGTCATACATAATATATTCAGTAGAAGATACATTGACATTAACGAATAACATATATTGTAAACGCATGTGTCGATTTCATATGTTTTGCCGTTTTTATGTATTATATATAATATACATAGTTTATAAATAATGTGTTACTTATCACCACGCTATTGATTGAAATATTATGAATGCTTAATAATAATAATTTAACATAGCGCGATTATAAACATATATATACCTACAAATTACCTACATACCTAATATTATGATGTTCATACAATTGTACATATTATTATCCACATAAAGTAGGTACGTACGTGACGACCGTATAATCTGGTTTTGAATCATTARTTTATTTATAGAAGTGACTTTTATTATGATGTTACACAAAACTTATTTTTAATCAATCATTAAAATGGTTTTTCGCCCAAGCCAGAGAGGATTTCCACACTAGTACGGCCCATAACCTCCTCAAACAATTTCAATAATTTCATATTCTTGCATCTTAGTTTTACTTATATTTTACAATCCACATATTACAGATTGTAACAATAGTATTCTTGCTTAAATTAAAAATGCGTTTAATTTTTTTTTTTTAATCAAAATACCTTATTATAGCTGCATAATAGGTAGTACCTATCATAAGCTAAATCTACGCATACCAAATATAATGTAAATATATAATACTGTATCACTGAATCTGTAATCATGTAACATATACAATCATACCTAAAGTATCCATTAAGAACAAAAAAAATTTTTTCAAAGCTGTATTTAAACTTTTTATTTATTAAATACTTTAAATAATATTAATACTCATTAAGTCATAAATGGAATTTGTTTTTAAAATTATTATAACTATTTTTTTTATACATACAGCGACAATAAAACACTAGGAAATGGTTTTGTAAAATTTTATTTAATATATAATATAATATTTATTATATAATTACAACAAGTACGAACAGTTTTTAGTTATTTGTTACAATGCATGYAAATCCTAAATACAAAATATAAATACAGCTGAGTTTTGATAACTCGATAACTCGAMAACTTGAACTAGTATTTGAAGATTAGGTACAACTCAAAAAATTCGAATTTATTTTTATTCCCTTTGAGATCCGWGTTATCGAGACTCGGTATTATAATAATGAGTAATGACTATAATCAGGTTAAAGTGCGCTTTTGTTACATTATCAGATTACCAACATGGCTGTATAAAATATTTCCATCGAATTGATTAGAACTGAGTATTATAATACATTACTTATATTAAGCTGTATATCGTACTGTATATTGTACTGTAATACGTAAGTTTGATTAATTAATTACTAATAAACATATTTGATAGAATCTTTAATCAAATTACAAATTCAATATTATTAAAATCTATTATAAATTACTGGACTTAAAAACATTTAATATTGTAGGTATGTATAGCTTTTTTTCTGTTAGAATAAAATTCGTAGTTATTATTGTTATGTTATAACTTATAACAGATTACACATTAGTATCTGTTCATTGATTATTACATAATATTATAATAACATTAGATATTATAAATGCCAATAAAATATAAACGAACCACGTCAGTATTATTATACAGTATACATTTTATAATAAGTACTTAATAATTGATAAACTTCAATGAATATTCATTCGTAAAATTTTGAAGTACTACCTCTACYGCATATTATATATGATTACAAACTTAGGTACCTATATTGTTTAAGACTTGGTCAGTTTCTGAATGAGGAATAAACTAGACTTGGCCGCAATGTAGATACTACTACTTACTATGATTCGCTGTCTTTTCTGAGAAGAAATCTAAACCTTTTACTTTTTTCTGAATCTTCTTCTCCCCATCATCCTCGTAAGTCATAAGTGAGCACATTCGATAATGATGTTTTATTCCTAATTCAGAAACTGACCAAGTCTTAAAAAATACAAATAAAAGAGAAGTGTTGCTCTTTAATGTAGGAGTGCATTGAGGTTATGAATTAAAAAATAGCAGACTTGGCCACAATGTAGATTTCACTACTTTGATAGGCCGACTTCTTTGGGAGGGAGTTTGGCCTTTTTTCACTGTTATGTTTTTGTTGGGGATATAATTTATTTTTGAGGGCTTCAGCGTCGTAAGAGTATGCATTATGCAATTTGTCATCAATGTTTTTTGTGACGTTATCACGTAAAATTATCGTTCGCAAACCGACTAATATTATTAAAATATTCTGTATTTGTATGAGTATATTATATTTTGTATTTGAATAAAATAAATGTACGAAAACATAATTATGTTTTATAATTAATATATATATATATATATAAGCCAACTACAATTTCTTATTACCCTATTGTAACGCTGTTTGAAAGTAAACGTTTATGCGTGCTAAGCGCGCCACTTCATACGTTTAGAAATACACACTCTAGAGAAGCATTAATTTTGAAAAAAATACTATTTTTAGATTTTTCCCTTTAGTTACACTGTAAAATCTACCTTTGTGCCAAATTTCACGTTTCTACCTATACGGGWAKTGTCTTATAATTTTGATGATCAGTCAATGAGTGAGTGAGYCAGTGAKTCARTAACAATATTGCAAATTTTKAAATCCTGCCATTTTCAAATGGCACAATATTAAGGGCTCATTTTCTTATARCGTCYTAAGCTACTAGAGGTTAATCTRTGTTTTAAATTTCAAAATTKTATCTTAAGATGAAACAGAGATATATGGGTTAGAAAAAAAGGGCGAATTGGYTCGTGTAAAGATACACTGGCATTGCTGTAACTTGGCCTGGCGCACTGCCGTGCGCTCAGATTTATACTATATTATCAAGAAAATTGTTCAATAGTGTATAGTATACTTTGTATTAATTCAATATTTCCATATTATGTAGTATTACTGATTAGTGAAGTGTAATAAAGGGATCGGAAGTTTACCGTGGTAATCATTACAATCAATCAAACACACAACACACGAATTTACTGTTAKACTAGCGCTATTTCATTTCCAATGAAAATATAATTAAGGTCACTAATAGTAGGTATAGGGATCCTAAAAAAATAATATGTTAAACCATTTATGTAGTAATAAATAAAAGCTGTCTAAGTATAGTAGTTTCATTAGTACAGTCGAAACTATATCGATATRTAGTATATACTCTTTACAATRATCCGCGGATAAGAATTTTGAATACGTATTATCTGCAGTATTTTGATTTTAATAATATTCGTATAATCAATGATGTAAGACTTATTATATTATACCTACTATAAGGTATTTTTATTTAATTTTTCCAATATTTTTGGTACATTTTAGATGCTGAGCGGAGCGAGGAATGTATTGATTTTACCATAATGTGTGTTTTTTTTGTGCCTGTCATCACGTTTTGGGGCAGTAAAAGTGCTTCGATTTTTKATTTCAGTAGCTCGTTCGATCAGAAAGTGAATCTAGTTGGTACTTTGGGGGGTTAGTAAAGTAAAAAATTCTTAATATTTTTCTAAATAATCAGGATAAACAAACTAAAAATTAAGGGAAAAACGGGAAATTTTACGCACAATCAGTTTGCAAAATCGAATTTGGTTTTTGATATAACTTTAAAACAAATGACCATAGATA